GGGTGTATATCAGTTGGACACGGGGCAATTGGACACAGTCCAATCACAAGTCGCTGTTCCAAGGGACCCTACAAATGTCTTTAATCACACGGTACTGTGATTGGCTGTGTCCAAGTGCACCGCTCCTCCTTGCAACGCGTCTCCCCTGCCCGACCAGGCACCTCCTATCTCCCCTGCGCCGGGCCCTCATTTGATCCGGAGGACCCGGCGGCATTGTAGGGGGTTGCGGCGCACCCGCAGGTACCCCGGGGGAGGGAACGCCAGCGGTGGCGTCCCCTTCCCGCTCATGGGTGCGCAGTCCCTCGATTCCGCGCTGATACGCGGGTAAGTGAGGCGCCGCCCTCCTCCTGCGGCGTCTCACCCCATCCCGATGGGTGACTTCGCCCCTCCTGACGCGCTCCGCCTCCTCCTTCTGTGCCATCACTGCGTCACAGAAGGAGGTGACGGTGGACCAGTCCTCGTCTTCCCCAAGCATGGCCCTGATAAGGGCCGGGGGAGAAAGGTCCGCCCCTACCACATCTATTAGGACTCGGCGCTCCACATCCCAGGAGGGGCATTCCTTCAGGGTGTGTTGCGCCGAGTCCACCTTAGCACCACAGTGGTGGCAGCGGGAGTTAGGCTCCCTGCCAATCCTGTGCAGGTACTCACCGAAGCATCCATGTCCGGTGAGCACTTTAGAACATTAAACCTGTCTTTTATATTAATAAATTTTGTATTATAATAAAGATAATAGTTAAAAATAACAGGTAAGTTTTCAAAAACAAACTTTTAGTAAAAACTCACATTTTCGTTATAGATACTTGGTATAGATAAACAGCAACTTGATATAGAAGTTGAAGGACTGTGCATCGCAGTATTATATAACACAGTTTCAGGTGCTGTTGTTGTTGGGAGTTTTTTTTTTATAATTAGTTGTAGTACTAAACAAAAGAATGAAATAATCAATATATGCTTCAGTACAATTTAAAATGAGATCAAAGTAATTAGCACTCACCTTCGATGTTTTATTATATCAACTAGAAACGTCAAATCGTTATAAAGACCCCATGTAGGAGTATATGTTAAATGGTTGGCTCCAGCACCAGATCATCCTTGAGATTGAATAATTTTCTTTCTTTCTTTTGCAAACCGCTGTCGTAGTTGGAGAAATCTATGTTCAACCTCAGGACCTATACAGATATAACCTCATCCAGATAGCCAAATCTGCTAAAACAGATTTTCCGCAGAGTCTGTTATCAGGATCTGTTGACAGAAAGACAACAGATTGTACTCAGAATTTGTTTAACAGACTCTGACGACAGATTGATGGCAAATTGTGCGCAGGATTTGCTAACGCAGATTGCACGCAGAGCCTGCCGACAAACTCTGACGACAGATTGACGGCAGATTGCGCACAGATTCTGTCGTTTCTTTAATTAAATTTTGTAAGTTCTTTAATTCTGTAGGTTCTTGTAAGTTCTTTAATTCTGTAAGTTCTTTAATTAAATAGTATATGTATGCTATTAAATGGGGTAGTTTCATATGCACACAGTGTAATAGCTCAATAAAATGTTGCTTTCCGTAATAACCTTATAGGTCTCACGGAAAAACAACATATTGATTGGCTGTCACGCAAACTTCCGTCGCACGGCAAGCGTTGCCGCGTTCTGTGTGTAGGAGCCATAAAACGAATAGAAATCTGTGATCGGAGAGTTTGGTTAGTGTGCTTATCCCTATGGCCTATGGCATCGTATACTTGATACGTGTACTAAATATGTAGTAACTTTCTATTAAATAATCTTAATATCGACGATGTATATAAATAACGGTATATTAAGCTGCTATCCCCGATAGCCAAGCCTGCGCGATCAACTTTCGAGTAAAGTTTGATCTCAACTGTTGGTCGCAAATAGGCATTTTGGATTTTTAAATTACGCCGTACTACCTTCATAATAGTCTTTCTTTGTCTCATTGTTAATTTGTGCAACGATTTACGCGAGGT